ACCAGATATATATGCTCATGATATGGTCTAAATATGGTGTTAAATGAAATACGATTTAGTAAAGATGCTATTTTCGTAGCATACTGCAGGGCCAGTTTATCACGTCTGTTGTGCAGAGAGGGCTCATGTGCCTCGACGTATAAACTGTCCACTGGAGATGTACGAAATGCTCCCAAACTGATTCCAAGTCCCTGGTTGTGTATGGTGTCGAGGTCTTTGAGATAAGACTCGCGGGCAGACCCATACACAATACACCCATAATCGAGTTTTGATCTTATTAAAGCTCGATATAATCGGAGCAAGACCTTACGGTCTGCTCTCCAGTCAGTATTTGATAAGACTCTCAATATGTTGAGGGCTTTCAGACATTTCTTTTTCAGGTTTTTAATATGGGGGATAAATGATAATTTCTTATCAAATATCAGCACCAAAATTTGGTTTCATCCACAACTGGAAAGCGATTGCCATCCAAAAACAGTTCTGGATCAGGATGCAAACCTCGTGTCTGACAGAAATGCCTGCAGACATTCTTGGATTTCGAAAAACGAAATCCATTTTCGGTTGCCCATTGTTGAAGTGAATTCAAACAAAGCTGCAACTTACGTTCGATTATCCGCATGTCTGTAGAACCATAGCACATCTGAAAGTCATCAACATAAAGAGCGCCTGGTTTAAGGCACGCTGGGATGGTATTAATTTTTATTGCAAAGAGTGTTGGAGACAATATGCTTCCCTGAGAAATGACCTATCTTCCAGGAAATTTTTAATGAAGATAAGTAAGCGACCCCGTAGGCCGGGGTTATGGAGGTCGCGCATGATACCATGTTTCCACGTGGTATCGTATGCTTTCTCCAGATCAAAATATTTTGCAACTAAATGTTGCTTCTGGATGAAAGCATCCCTGACGAACGTTTCAAATCGAACGAGATGATGAAGAGTGCTCCTTTGGGACCGAAATCGACATTGGAGGTCTGTAATGAGGTAGTTGGATTCAAGGTACCAAACAAGCCTTCGATTGATCAATCTCTCCATGGTTTTGCAAATGCAGCTAGTTAAAGCGATCGGACGATAGTTGGTAGGATTCGTATGATCTTTACCCGGTTTAGGGATTGCAATTATTGTAGCTTCATGCCACGAAGGAGGGAAATTCCCATCAACCCAAATCCGGTTAAAAAGATCTAATAAAATTAGGAGAGTTGGAAAAGGTAAATGTTGAAGTATTTGGTAATGAATTTCATCTGGACCAGTTGCAGTGTCCGGAGCTCGCTTTAACGAATCACGGAGCTCTGCTACAGAGAAATTTCCACTGTAGCATTCATCATTACGGGACTTCAAATTAAGTCGCCGTTTCTCCTGCTGTTGTTTAATGCCTAGAAAGGCATTGGAGGAGAAATTGGATGATGAATTAAATAAAAATGTACTGGCCAGAGAATTAGCAATATCAGGAAATGTTGTGAAGGTGGTATTATCAACATTTAGATGATTAACTGATAATGCGCTACTTTTACCTTTAATCCTACGAATCACATCCCATACCGATTTGGATGTTGTACGGGAATTGATCCTAGAGACGTAACCTTGCCATGAAGACTTCTTTGCTTGACATATGGTTCTACGGGCCTTCGCCCGGATCATCTGGTATGCCGCAATATTCTCCATGGAAGGGTGGTTCTTTAGTCGTCTTAGGATACGATCACGCTCTTTTAAAGCGGATTTGCAATTGTCATTATATCATGGTTTATTGAAACGTTTTGGTTCAGTCGTGTTTTTTGGAATCGCCTGCTCAGCTACATCTTGTAGAATTGAAGTGAATAAGGCCATCGGTTCATCTGCATCTTCTAACACATAGATCTTCATTTACTCTCCATGTAAAATCCTGAAACCGGACCGGAGAGCAAAGGGTGAGATCTAGGGAAGAAAAGGAAGCTGTGGCAGTGTTATAGGAATATGGAAAGTCACCCTAACTGCAACTGTCTGTAAAGGCGAGTTGAGGGTGACTTGACTCTGAGGGATATCTTCATTAAGAATAATAGAGACACAACATGAGCTCTACCATCACCAACTGCATGATGATGATAACTAACAAAATTTCTAAAAGACAAAGTGTCAGAATTCCTTAAGAAAGTTTCCTGTAAACAAATAGCTAACAGATTGTACTTTTGAATTAATAATTGGACCTCATTAAAATTTGGTTTTAAACCACGACAATTCCATTGAAGAATGGTATTTACCATTGTCAGGGATAATTTATTTTTGGCGGCTTACCGGCGGGGTTCATATGAACATCCGCTACGATAATACCATCCATCAGATCAACCCCATTTTTTTTTAAAATGGGTAATAGGGTCTTGTGAACCCCTTTTACCCTTAGCACGCAATTTTCTTTCCTTTTTACTGAGAAATACTTGTTCCTGTTAGGGTGGAATACCCTTAGGCTACGATTCTGACCCAGCAGGATCAGGAAAACAGCTTTAGCGTGATGCGAGGGACGAGACCCCTTGCCTTTCCCAGTGGAAGTATTAGGAATGTTCCCAGGAACTTCCGTTTGGGGCAATGAAGATGAATCCTCAAAAGGCAAAGGAGAAGTAGTTTGAATCGAGCTCTCAGATGTTTGAGAAGAGCTCGAAACCCCTTTAATTTGATCTGATGTCGTCAAATTCTTTGGTTTATCCTGCTTATCAGGCCAGGTTAAGTCTGTCTGAATAGAGATGGATTTGACGGAAACTTTAACTACACTTGAAAATGTTTTCCCTTGTGGTGCAATGGGAAAAAGTGCAGTTAAATCTACCTGTTTTCGGGCATCGAAATAAGATATTTTTCTTTCATACATGACCTGTTGGATTATTTTCTCTTTTTGCCATACTGGACATTCACGGGAATAAGCGAAGTGTTTTCCCTTACAATTTGTACAACAAAACGTAGCCTGGCAGGTAGCGCTTTTGTGACCATCATGGCCACAACGAGCCCAGGTGCCTTTACCCCTGCAGACAGTTTTGCTGTGTCCAAATTTTTGGCACTTATAGCAACGAAGAGGATTGAAAATGTATGAATCCACAGGTATGTTTAAATAACCTGCCTTGAGAGTCTTTGGTATGTCGGGACGATTGAATGTGAGGATATAGGTGCTTGTTGGAATCACCTTGTCTCCTCGACGAACACTAATTCTTTTGACGTGTTGTACACCTTGAGAAGAAAGGTATTGTACCATTTCTTCCTCACTGCTGCCTTCAAGGTCCCGGCAACGTATTACACCTCTACTAGAATTTAAAGACCTATGGGAATACACCTTAATAGGAATGTCTGCCAAAGATGATGATTTAAGAAGCATGGTAGCATGCTGTTCTTTGGCACATTCTATTAAGAGTTTTCCGTTCTTAAGTTTTTTGATAGCCTTGGGCTCGCCGGCTATACCCTTGGTTAAACAAAATAGCGACACTTTTGATAGGTCTTTCGAGGGACTCTCAATTAAGAGGAACCTCGAGCAAGACTTTGACATTTTACTATTATTAAATATATTAGAAACGTCCTCAGTATTAGGACGTTTCTGTTTTTGTCTTTCAGTTGTTGGGGTTTGGGGGATTGGGGAATCCATTAAAGATTTTTTAAATTGATTCACTCTTCGTCGTCCCCCAGGTTACTTCCCTGCCTACCAGGGGGAGGACTAGCGCGGATAACCTGCGCATGGCCTCAGGGCTCGACGAGGGGTATACTCAAGCCAGAAAGTAAAATACTTTTCTAACCTGATTGACCCAAGCCGTCGCTCTGTAGAATGTACTAAGGACACAAAGGTAAGTAGTATGCTGAGTGAATAAACAATCGAGCATTAAAATGAAAAAGGTACATTCTACAAAGCGAAAAACGACCAAAGCTGATTGATCAGACTGGGCCACTCTGACCTCCCATCTAGGTGAACCATGGGTCAAAGTAATGTGTTGCAGAGAAAGGGCTCGCAAGCCAAATCCCCACTCAATTACCAGGATTCCACTCTCCACCGACAAGGGTCGCAACGCACGGCAAACACGTTGCCCCATTACCGGGATCCTTTTAGTCGCCTTTTACGACACGCAGGACACACGAAGGGTATATTCTTATCACCCCCTACACCCCAGGTGGGCCACGCCTAAGGGGGTGGCGGATAACACAAACGCCGTCATGTGCTCTACGATACAGTTGAGTGTTGATGGTCAGCAACAAAGACGAAAAGTCGGCAACCTTAAGGAAGTTTCTTGCAGAAACAAAATACTAAAAGATTGTACGTTTGATTTAATAGTTGAGCTTCAATAGAATTTGGTTTCATACCACGACAATGTACATGATGGTTCATTTTGATCTGCTTACGAGGTCCGCAATGCTATACATCAAATCAATCCCATATTTATTATAAAGATGAACAGATTTTTTGACCAGTTCTACCCCTCTCTCGATTTACACATCTACTTGAATTAGGTTATCTATGTGGAAACACCCCTTAAGAGTAATGTCTGCCAAGGCCGTTTAATGATGTACCATGTAGCTTTGGTTATTACAAAGAGAAAACTAAGGGAGTAGGGGCGAGCACTGAAGGGGTATAGTGAAGCCAGAAAGTAAAATACTAGTCTAACCGGATTGAACAGGGTCACCCTTCTGAATAGTGTACTATATATAAGTTTTCCCATTATAGGAATCCCTTGTAATATTTAACACGATAAACGGGTCTATTAATAACACATGAATTCACATTGTCACTCATACGGTTAGATATATTAGTTGTATTTAAGTATTGTTTAATGGTCGAGAGCGAGACATTAAGTAATATATTGTAACAACATGAGGGCCGTAGGCCCGAATGTTTTTACAATATATTACGCAATGTCGTAAGCTCGAGACCATTAAACATCTTAAAATACTGACACTCAGCACGAGCTTTTACGTCACATTAGTCCAATATCTCACTGGTTTGAACAAAGTACTATTGGCAAGTTGCCCGTACGATTATTTGAAATAACAATGGTATGCCAACACCCCTAACTACTGTTATGGTAACGCTTACCTAACAACTATATTTGACTATGATTGAACCCGATCAAACATGTTAAGATTGTTGTGGAATGCTTTTTCACCAATCAGGTAATCATTTTAATTAATTTAGATAACTAATTAATAAACTAAGTGATGCGTAATAACATGTTATACCTGCCATTTGTGCGCTGGGCTTTGTGTTAAATGGGTAATTTAATGGCATCTATTAAAGGGGTTAAATCGCTTTTCTTTCGCACCCAGTAAGGGACTCAATTAGTTGACAACGCATATAATAGTGTAATATGAATGTATATAAACTGATTTGCATTACATTATTTCTGTTTTTACTGTATTTCTAATCGGAAGTTAACCGGCTTAGTTTGTAAATAAAAGATTTGTGCAAATGTTCTTCGGGTCATTTAGGCAATCCATGTAGAGTGGACCAAATTTTAAGAACGTTGTCGGGTAACCCTTTCAGGGCCCTTATTCACGAAAACTTGAAGATACAATCGAAATTTTAAGAAATACTGCAATTCGATTGGCTGATTAGTAAAATCAATTTGCATATATCCAATTTGCATATTGGTCAGCCAATCGAATTGCAGTATTTCTTAAAATTTCGATTGTATTAAGGTTTCGTGAATAAGGGCCCAGGATATTATGAAAAACATGTTATAGGACATATTGACATATGTTAAACTTCAAATTTATAGAATTAATACTCAGTGAGATGTGGCTTTTTGAATAAGAATCACCATTCGCAAGTATCGAAACTACATTGTGTTCTGGTTTTATTATTCAGTTTTGGGGATTTGGAAGAATTGTTTATTTAGATTAATAATCCATCAGATTTTCAGATCAGGTACTGACAACTACGTATGGTGAAAAATAAGTGCCGAAATTGACTGCTTGTACGTGAGAAAAAAAAACAACAATATCTAGCAATCTTACTACATTTAGAAATCCTACTACAGTATATTAACAAATACATTTGGATTATTTAAACGGGGTATTTCAGAACGTTTCTGTATTAAGTGTCGTCATTCGGTTCAACGTTCTAATCTAGGGTTATTTATTTCAGATTGATGATTGTGTTGAACATGTTCAACTACACACGTCCTTTATATTTAATGGTACTAATAGTTTGCAGTTGTGGATTTGCAAATATGGACACAATGCTAGAAGGAAAGAACGAACTCAATCGTAATGAGAATTAGGGTTTATTCCCACGAAGGCGCAGTTATTGACCGTAACGGATTTAACGAGGTCGTTTTCGACGCCTTCGTGGGAATCCAGCCCCTAGGGATTAAAATGGATTAAAAACGTAACAATGGTGTTATAGATTGTTATGATAAGAATTTACACTTTCATAATCCCCAATGTAACTAATTAACCAACATTTTAGCATCATTTTTGGCATAAGAAATAAAAACATAACTACACCCTGTCTAAATACTCGACTAAAGTCAATTCCTCTTCCTCGTGTCGTCCTTTTAATTCCTGGAGCTGGCTTTGGATCTGAGCATATTTATATCTCTTCATTGGTGGTTCCTGTCCCCCAGCATACTGAACGATTCAAATCTCATTAATATTTTGTTCTTGTTGTAAAAATGTTATCATTTCAAAAACATTCGGATGGGCTTTTCCAACTATAGCTTCTCGATTCTTGCATGCTATCCTTCCAGAGAGTGTTGTTGGTTCTGTGCTCCTCTGTGTCGTGGGGGTTCCACTGATATCGTCCTCCGCGATTTGTAGGTACAAAGTTGAATTCACGTTATGCGTTTGCTATTGTAGAATATTATCTGAATTTCGGATAGTGTAACGGAATTTTATACATCTTTAAAAATGACACTGATTGAGAGTAAGCGAATAGGTGAACACTACTTGGGTGATTTGATGACATTCATCATTCAATTGGTGATTAAGATTCATATTGAATACTTGGATGATTTTAATCATTAGTTGCCAATTGGTGAATAAAATTCAGAGTGAACATAAATTCGTAAAATCTTAAACACCGTTAATTGGGTCCTAATAACAACAAGCCCCTCTTCAAACGAAAGCCAACAAGTGGATATCTGCGCCTTCGTGGGAAGGATTAATTTTGGCCACGCTCTGTAACTGCGCCTTCGTGGGAATACACCGGAATTAGAGGTGCCCAGTGGTCCAGGGTATTGCGGGTCTATGTCTACCTGGTTTGATGAGGTATGTGACTAGAGATAGGGGCGCCTTCTCAACTTCGTGGGTCTAATCCGGGTATCCCAGTTTCCTCCAACAGGAAAAACCCATGCACGTGCGCTAAACTAATAAGAATAAGACAACTTGTCTGTGATATCACCCTCGTTGGAAGCGGACGTTAAAAACTAATAGAATACAAGATCAATCGTTATGCAACTTATTTCAGAGTCATTCAGATAATTTTTTATATTCTATTTCAGGCCTTGACGTATCTAATAATGTGACTAGCATACGCGGTTATCCCAAAGACAATATTACATTTATTTGGAAATATAACAACACAGAACCAATACACATGATCATATTTAACCGTAAGAAGGAGAAAAACGGAAAGGTATTGTTAATTGAACTACTTGTATATTGTTAGCCTTTTTTAAAAATGATACTTAATTATACATCATACCATAAAAGGGATTAACCCCAAGTTCAACCGAGATGTAGGCCTCACGATTAAGTTACACATTGACCCCTATAAATCTGTGGTCGTGTTCGTCTCTATACTGCCGCACAACACCCGTATTAAAAGAAGATACTTTAGTTAATCCGATTATCTATTTAACATTATTAACTTTTATACAATATCTTGCATGCTTTGTCTTCATCTGTCTATCTATTAATTGTTACTTTACCCCCCCCCCCCAAAAAAGGACAAAAACGCACATTCCCTTTTAGATGGTGTTTAGTCATAGCTTTTGTTAGACATACATTATGCAACAGCTAAATTTACCTATTGTGGGTATTTCTTTAGGCCCGAAATGTTATTTAAATTATTAACTAGACATTAATTGACTTATCCAGACCATAATCAGTTCTAGATGCCATAGTTAGCCCGTGATATTTAGTGGATTTGAATACATTTTGTGATGGATAATTTAATAGAGACTTTTCAACGTTAGTAATGAGGATCGAAGATAGCCTAAAATGAAATCGCTATTTTTTTAACTATTATAGCGAGAACCGTCAGCTCTTTATCTAATGTTAACTAATTCCCCATTAATTCGTGTCCCATTATTAAACTCTTTTTATATTAGTTTTACGCATTTTATGTCTTAAGTTAAATTCACCCCCATGCATTTCATTGTGTGCCCATGGCTATATAAATAATTTGAAGAAGTGTCTTGCTTGTGCAGATGTATCTGTAAGAGGTAATGTTAGTTCGTTATTCACCAGATATGTTATACGTAATATAATAGAGGCACTTTTATTGGGAGTGAGATTTTTATGAGTCTAATTAGTGTATAACACTTCAAAGTCTTGGGAAATATATTCTAACAGGCTGTCTTTGTACGAGTTGTTATCCTAATACCAGTAAGTCTGTGGTCTGTGTTTGACATCAATTATATTACATAAACTATAGACGAACGTTCTTAATCGCTCATAGTAATATCCGGACTGAACTGAGCAACTTAGCGCCAATGATAGCTCTCTGGACATTAGGCTCTATATATTAGAATTATAATGTATTTTCGATATTTACCTATATTTTATTACCCTTAAGGCATATTCCAATTTAAATGTTTTACTGTTTCAGACCATTCTGTATAAATAATTATTCGATGTTTATGTATTGCGGTCTGTTCATCTTGAATCTGTGGAACCTAGCTGCAATCTCAAATACATTGATAACCGGAGTTATGTTCAATAAAACTGGTGATCCTAATACTCTTTATTGTAGCTTAACCACCTTGGAGTTTGGGAAGATAGCATCTTTAATAGAAATGCTTCTAGCGTGAAAGTAAGTGTTAGGTTCAATAAAACTGGTGATTTGGAAGGTATCATATATTTGACACTACTAGATACAACATCAGGAGACTACAACTTGAACTACACCTGTAGGATTGTTTTTAATGACAAAAAATCAAGCTCTATCATTGGTATATTCCTTGCTGGTGGTAAGTAAATTAATACTGTGTATACTTTATCTTTTGTTTATGGGGATCATTTCAGAATACAGAAAAAATAGACGTGGCTTTCAATTTGATGTTTTAACACAAATTTTGAATAAGACGTGTTTTTACGGAATATTGCATGTAATTAATGACGAAGCCGACTGATTGAAACATCCATATTGAAACGAATTTAGAAGGCCGTACTTTCCACTCGGTCCTCCGCAAAGACAAACTTTAGGGTCTTGGTGCTTCACTTGCATTGACATATTTCAAACAGTAAAAGATAAGCACATGTTTACTTTTTTGTCAGCCTGTTTTTTTTTTCTGTTTCAGGTCCGGATGTATCAAGTAACGTGGCAAACATGAGCGGGTACCCCAACGATAACATTACATTTATTTGGAATTATTACTATACAGTAGAAATAAACATGATCACATTTAACCGCAAGAATGAGAAAAACGGAAAGGTAATGTTGATTGAACAAGATTGTTAGACTTTTTAAAAGTGATACTTAGTTGTACATCAAAACATTAAACGGATTAACCCCATGTTAAACCGAGATGTGGGACTCTTTAAATCTATGGTCGTGATTGTCTCAATACAGCCCCACAACACCTATATTAAAAGAAGATACATTAGTTAATCCGATTATCTGCGAGATAATGCGTGAAAATATATAATGTTCAAACATTATATATTTTCACATCTTCCAAGCAAAATGTCTAGAATAGTGTTTGATTATATTAGACCCCCAAATGAGAACATGCCAGAAAACTAGTATCTTCATTAAACAAATGCAAGGAATTTTCCATAATATTAAAACGGTGTTAAAAGCTGTGTACAAAACAATAACCAGCTGATAGATATGACAGATGCATCTACAAAACATTTTGTTGCGATAATCCTGCTGACAGACATATTTTGGAAAGTTAGGTAATTATAAATTGTACGAACAACTCGCATAGCACACCTTTACAAGTTATTATCATAATATCAATAAAAGTAGTCTTTGGGTGGCATTAATTATGTTACATAAACTATCAAACTCAGGGCGAACATTCTTATTCCCTCATGACTTGTAATATCCGGACTGGACTGAGCAACTTAGCGCCAATGAACATAGCTCTCTGGACATTAGGCGCTTTACATTAGAATAATAATGTATTTTGGATATTTACCTATACTTTATTATCCTAAAGGATAATTCGCCTATGTATTGTAGACTGTTCATCTAGGATCTGTGGAATCTTATATGCATTGATAACCGGAGTTATGTTCAATAAAATTGGTGATCCTAATACTCTTTATTTAGCTTAACCCCCTTGGAGTTTGGGAAGATGGCATCTTTAATAGAAATGCTTCTAGCGTGAAAGTAAGAGTTATGTTCAATAAAACTGGTGATTGGGAAGGTGTCATATATTTGACATTACTAAATACAACAGCAGGAGACTACAACTTGAACTACACCTGTAAGGTTGTTTTTAATGACAAAAAATCAAGCTCTAGCATTGGTATATTCCTTGCTGGTGGTAAGTAATATTAATACTGTGTATACTGTATCTTTTGGTTATGCGGATCATTTCAGAATACAGAGAAAATAGACGTGGCTTCCAAATCGATGTATTAACAATTTTAAATAAGATGTGTATTTACGGAATTTTGTATGTAATTAATGACGAAGCAGACAGGTTTAAACACCCATATTGAAACGAATTTAGAAGGCCAAGCTTCCCACACAGTCTTCCGGAAAGACAAACTTTAGGGTCTTTGTGCTTCACATGCATTGACATATTTCAAACAGTTTCTTTATTTGACAACCTGTTTTTTTCTATTTCAGGTCCTGACGTATCTAGTAACGTGACAAACAGTTCAGACCCTGGTGTATCTAGTAACGTGACTAACATGAGCGGACACCCCAAAGATAACATTACATTTATTTGGAATTATAACTATACAGAATCAATAGACATGATCATATTTAACCGTAAGAATGAGAAAGGCGGAAAGGTATTGTTAATTGAAGTATATTGTTATGAGTTATTTAATACTTAATGACATTAAATGATGCATCATAACGGGAAATAACTATTTAACTGTAAGAATAAGAAGAACATAACGGTGAGGTCAATTGATCGAGAGAGAGCGAAATAGGGTTAACGTCCACTCGACACAAACTAGGTCATTTCGGGACTAACACATGGTTCAATTTTATTTCAATCATTCGCGTGCGCGTAGGGGTCTTTAGCAGTGGGAGGAAACCGGAGAAAACCCACGAGGTTGGACAGGCGACCCTACTCCTTGTCACGTACAACCGGGTAATTGAAACCCCGCCAGTTGACTCAATGACAGACCGTATGATACAGCGCGCGCTAACCATTCGCCCCCCCCCCCCATTGCACGAGAGGCAGGATGAATAAAGAAAGAAAGGACTAGTTCATGTATTAACATCTACAATAATTCGCAGAAAGATAAGCACCGGTGACCCTGCCATTGTCACGTACAATCCAGGGATAGAAACCAGGGCACTTGACTAGTATAGTATGGTTTCGATTTCCCGGTTGTACGTAGCAAGGAGTAGGGTCGCATGTCCAACCTCGTGGGTTTTCTCCGGGTCCTCTGGTTTCCTCCCACTGCTAAAGACCCCTACGCGCATGCGAATTATTGAAATAAAATTGAAACATATTTTAGTTCCGAAATGACCTAGTTTGTGTCGAGTGGGTGCTAAACTCTTTCTCTCTCTCTCTGTCTCTCTCTCTCTCTCAACACGTTTGTGCCGGTACGGCGGCGACGAATGCTGACTGTTGGTAACTGGACAGGATACTGAGCTCTCCTTCATTCTTAAGGAAAGGTATTACTACTAGTAGTGACTTATGTCCGATTCCTCGAAATCTGAAATATTTGCTCGTAAGCGAACACGTTGCTAAGTTAAGGTCACTGTGTTCTGATTATATGCAGCAGATATCACCATAAATTATATATGGTACACATTGCTGAATATAGCCTTGCTTACCTTGTAACCCTGCAGCGATTCATGTTCATTTGATTAGAGCGGGCGCAGGTGTAAAGTTAGCTATTCCTTTGTATAATATGCAAAATATCCTTTACAAGATTTTGGGTTTGCATTTTGTGTTTGCCGCATATAATTTGTGGTTCCAACATTTTAAACAGATGTATTATGTTACAGATTGATAAGATAGGATATTGGCAAGGAGGCAATTTTCTACCAACAATACCAGATGGTGAAAGTAGACTGACATTTAACAAAACAGAACGAAATATTACCAATGGTATTGAAGGACAGATTATTCTAACGTTACTTAATGCATCAAGGGAAGACTTTAATTATTTCTATATATGTCGTATTATCTTTCATGATAAAGAAGAAAGTAGTTGGGGTATCTTGCTCAAAGGTAATTCGCACGTTTAGGGATATACTGTAAACACTGTAAGTACAAATGTGTTTCCGCATAAGGAGTGAGGATGACCTAGCAGAAAACAACAATACCATTAAGAAATTAGTTCGAGTTAAGTTTCCATTCGCAATATTAACAGTCTTACACATTATGATATTCCGTGAAATGTGCATCTCTTCACCAATTTATTACAATGATTTTCGTCCAGAATTTGGAGCTCGGATTGAATGTGAGTTTAACTTGGATGTTCCATTAGATTGGTACCCTGACTAACTATGATGATGAGCAGTTTCTGCTGGGGCTATAGTAGAGACGTTAATTTTCTGCTCTAGTAGAGCAGAGATGAACAAATTTATACGACCCGTTGATCAAGATGTTGGAGCACAAGGGCCCTGCTCTTATTTTAGAAATAATGTATAATCTTTGCGTAAATGTCCATTTTGTGGAAGTCTTGGACGAGTTCGATGATTAATATTTTCTGCGAGGCTACGCAGAAGGACGCACATTCACAGATCGATGCATTAGGGCGCGATAACTTTAATTCAGTGAGAGTTGCGAAACTTGGCGATTTTATTATAGATGAACAGTTCGATTATTCGATGGTTTTAATTCATATATCGTAGCCTCGCGGTTGATACCTAAATTAATAAGACCGCTGTTTTAAATTTATTTATATGGGACGTTTTTATGCTCTGTATATATTTATAGTTGTATCTTATTGCTGACATTTAATCCAGGTGCCGACGTGTCAACTAAACTGGATTCAGTGGAAACATGACTGTACAAAAGAAAAACAAATATCTGTAGTTGCGTCATATATTTTAAATTTTGACCAAAATAACAAGCCTGAAGTACTGGTTCACAAGGTTATCCGAGTATATTTCTATTTTATGTAAGTGGCAAATGTATTCTACATTGTAGTGTTATCAGCGTTCTTGTCATTTCAGAAAAGGTATTCGTCCAAGATATTTCTGGATTATCTTCCTGGGAAATTGTTGGTATAACTGTGGCTGTTGTATTCCTGGTCGTAATAGTAATAGTAATAGTAATAATAGTATTGGTCAAACGATATGGTGAGGCTTTTTGTATATTATTCGGCATTACAGTAGTCGGCTTTTATTAATATAGAAAAATCAATATTTCAATAATAGTATGCAGTTCGTATCTATAGCTGGTTCCTAACACAAATAACTTTACTGGGAGTCAGAACTTAAAATCCAAGTTTTAACAATTGTGTGATGAGAAACACTGATCACGTTTAACTGTTAGGCTATTGTCCCGTGTCCTCAAAGATCACACAGGTTCCAAATGAGGTGTTTCAGAAAGATGGTCCCTCTAATCTTTACCATGTTATCTATAAGTTATTTTGATACTTTCTATTCATAGACAAGGTAGGCTAGTATTTTCTTCATTCGACAAACAATTTTTGTTGAAACACTAGTTACAGCTATGTAGAGACGGACGTGACTTGTCAGCGGATATCGTCCGATCAGAGGCAGTTCCTGAAGGAACTATTGAAACACTTGCCTTTCTAATAACTAAAAATAACTATGCTCAGTAAATGCAAATGTTAGTCTCAAAATATACAAGCATAAGATGTTAAGTTCCATTGATTGTATATTTTTGTTTTATTTGATGTTTTCGTCGAGTTATATGTTTTTTTAAATGTATTTTGTGGTTTTCGACGGTTTTGGTAAGCGGATGGTGACGCTATTGGGTATTCTTGGGTTTGATATTGAAGATTCCCTGGTTTATAAATTTGACAAACTGAATATTGTATAATAATTTTGACAAATATTGTCTTATATTTCCAGATTCAGTCAGACAAAAAATAAAATGTTGCATAGGGGAAAACAACACTGATACGAAAGAGGGAAACAACACAACAGACCAGGTAACAAAACCAGTAGTGGTTACTGCATGTAATAAATATATTATCACTAAGCCCGACTTATACTGTGTGCCACGAAACCTCCGTAAGCACGGCCCATATTCCCAACCCAGTCTCACGAGAGAGAGCGAGGGGGAAACTAGGTCATTCCGAAACTAACAAATTGTTCAATTCTATTTCAATAATTCAGCGTAGGAGTCTTTAGTAATAGGAGTTGGTATGTTCAAGCGGGGAATCAAAACCACGTCACTTGACTCAAAGACATACCTTACTATCCAAAGCGCACGCATTAACCATTCGGTCACTCAACCCCAGTCTCATTTGTGTAGATCTTCACAAACCTTGATTAATATAGTGTTGGTGGAACTCGTTTTTGTTGAATTGTACATATTTGTGGAATTCGGGAGTGAAATAGTTCAACGAATAATTGGTATTCCCATGAGCATCAACTATGCTTCATTATCTACTGATTTATTGCTACAAACTTACAAATACAGACCGATCGTTGATAGGACAAATTGCTGATATCGCATATAGAACACACACTATAGTATCCAAATATATACACCATTAAATTACAAACAACACCGTCCTGAGCAACTCTACAGGACCATCCTGTGTCCTGTGGGTATAAAGTACTATACAAAATTCACATCTTCGTATTACCTTCGTGTGTGGTTCGGGTGCCATCGCACTTGCTTCAGCTGTTGATTTATTGTTGACCAAGTTCGGAGCCATGGTCGCGCAAAATGTCATATTCGTATGCCCATCTGGTGTCAATTTCGTTGAAATGTGGCACCCGTATAACGAAACGACAGTGGTGGAATTGGTGATGGGAGGGCTGCTTGTTTTATTTCACAGATTGTCACCGGTGAAAGTCCTTGATGTGCCCAAACCTTTAGTTGACATGAATTATATAACCCTGTTGAATTCGCCTTGGTGGTTCCTTGGCGTAACTGAAATAGCTTCGTTTTCATTGGCTGTCGATAAAACTGAGTTCTGTAAAATATAAAACGCGGAAGCTAAACACTTCAGTTTAATGAGCCTTCGGTGAACTGTTTAAGAAATTGTTGAAAGCTGCCTAATATATTTTCACTTTATATATCTTAACTACAGTGGTACATAAATATATTTAATCAATTTTTACAGCAGGAAACGATTCCATTGAATGAGCTATAGTAGACGGAGTGAACAGCATCGGTTATTTAAACAAAAAAAAAATGTTAAATACCTTATGTCCATTTTAAGTTCAGTTTTATATTGATTGTCATTTATGTATTTATGTTTTTAATTGTATATATTAATCTGTGATATATTATTGTTCGTCGACCATTGTTTAAGTGTATCGTCACCCATGTTTGTCAGCCTGTCTTCCCGCGATACAGATTATCCCCCATGTTCGTGCGATAGAGAGTATCTCATATCCTCACTTGCCGCCGTAATAACAAACCGCAAGCATTGTTTTAGTTCGCCGTCTTTATTAGCTAGGTCGGAGCAGAATAGTAGGATGTTTTTTGTTCAGTTCATTCTAGTCATATTTGTGATACAAATAGGTAACGTCACCGTAAGGATTTCGTTCGTATTTGGTTACGAAAGAATGCTAGTAGCCGTCGCTTCATTAAATTAACGATTATTTTGATTGAATTTACCCAGATAAATTGGAGAATTTCACAACTGCCGAATATGACTACTCGGTCGAGACTTGCAACTCAAAACTAGCTTGGTTGTTTTAAAGGAACTGTTGCATCTCTTTAAGCAAAATCAAAAGTTAGAAATACGCCAGAATTTCTTTAAGTGGGATGAAGTAATTGAACAGTAACACACTAAGACTATTTATGGAATAACCTTGCGTGTTAATAAACCAGTAATTGTTTTTCCATAAATAGTGTTAGATATACGTGCACTTTTTCAAATCAGCTTTGACAAATCACATGAATTATGTTTATATGAAATATGGATTTCCGCGCAAATTTCAAATTTATACCAATTAAATCCATATATAAAAAAATATATTTTTGTATTACAGTATATGATATATTTGTATGCTTTTTAGTCGTTGATTTTATCATTCAGAACTAATTTTATATTTTTACTGTAATTATATTAAAATACAAACAAAAATATCCATATGGTGTTTAACTTTTCTGATCAGACATCGACTGCAAAAAAAACAAACCCAAGAGAACTTGTGGGGACGATGTTTGATGGTCTCTCTACATTGTTCGATCATTTGTGGATAGAATTAATGTTGTACAAATTATCCTTGGTCCTAGTAATGAAATGAAATGGGGTTTAACGTCCTAATGTTCTGCTCCGAACTGGGCTGATAAAGACGGAAATAAAATGAAATGTGGTTTTATGGCACGTCAGCTCCAACCGGGCTATATTGCGCCAAACATATGGTGAAAATTACAAGACAGGCTAAACTATACTATTCAAAAAAAGTAGGGGATATTTGATTTTGGGGGCATAATACTAAAATATGCAAATGACTACGAAAAAAGTCACTATAGAACCTAACAGAAGAAACATTTCCAGTTACATGTGACGCCCAAACGAACCAATAGCAACCGCATGGAATGCAGGTGATGCTTGGGATCATCATGGGGGTCCAACCCAAGATTTGCACGACTCTGACTTTGAATGTTACAGTCATTGTGGCATTGAATTCCAGGGTGGAAACATCAGTTTAATTGTTTTAGTGACCAGAAAACAAATTTTGATATGCGTCGGCTTACCCAAAATGAAAGGTTACGTGCTCTTGGCATGCTACAGATCGGCACAACACAGGCGGTTGTGGCGCGGACGATGAATGTTTCTCAGTCTGTCATAAGCAGGCTATGGTCCAGATACCGTGATACACAATCTGTACAGGACAGACAACGCTCAGGTCGACCAAGGGCGACAACTCAAGCCCAGGATCGATTTATCCGTACCTTGGCCTTGAGAAATCGTGTCATCACAGCAAATCAGATCAGCGCTCGTCTTCAAACAGACACTGGTGTGAGAGTGAGTGGCCAGACGATTCGGAATCGACTGCATAGGGGTCACCTTCGCGCCCGACGTCCTCGCGTGATCCCTTGTTTGAGAGATCATCACATTCAGGCAAGACGTCGTTGGTGTAGGGATCGTCAACACTGGGATAATCGACGCTGGAGCAATGTGATGTTTTCAGATGAGTCAAGGTTCACTGTTGATTTTTTGGACAGACGTAGGAGGGTGTGGCGTCGTCGAAACGAGCGCTTCCAAGACGTTAACGTCATCAGACATGATCGATTTGGGGGTGGTTCTGTTATGGTGTGGGGAGGCATCACTGTTGCTGGAAGAACGGCTTTACATGTTGTTGCAGGGCGTGTTACAGGCCAGTACTACCGGGACAACATCTTGGCAGTCCATGTTGTGCCGTTCGCACGACGTCATGGCCGCCGTTTCATCTTCCAGGATGACAACGCAAGATGTCACAGGGCCAGGATCGTTACAGGTTACCTCCAACAACAGAACATCACCACATTACCTTGGCCAGCACTGAGTCCCGACCTCTCCCCCATCGAGCATGTCTGGGACATGCTTGGACAGAGCTTACGTCAACGTCAACAACGTCCTGCCAATGTCCAAGAACTTGCTGCTGCGTTGCAACAGGAATGGGACAATCTGGACCAAAATGACCTTAGACGTCTCATTAGGAGTATGCCACGTCGGATCAATGCTTGTTTGGCAAACAGAGGAGGATTTACCCGTTACTGACTTGGTTGTGATGCTGTGGTAACTTTGCTGTTTGACCCCGGGTATCAGTTTACCCTTATAATGGTCAGTCTGTGCCTTACTTAGTCTAACGATCATTTGGAATAAATCGATGAATGTGAACTTCATTTCATTTTGTCATTTGTTTCTTCGTCAGTTTCATTAGGTGACTTCAATAACACTTAAAAATCAAATATCCCCTACTTTTTTTGAATAGTATATATCACAGAAAAACATTATATGCATAAATAAAAACAATATCACAGTTAATAAAATTAAAAATAAAATACAACTTTTATGCATATAAATATTAAATACAAAAATGAAATATATATATATATATATATATATACAATTAAAATTTATTATAAAAACCTGTCTCCTTTAAAAAGTCTAACACTTTACCATATAAACCCGGTTGGGCAAACATGTGCTGTAGTGACTGACAACGGTAAAAATTTGATCTAATATCCTTGAAATGCTTGCATGCACTCAATCAAAATGTGCTTAACTGTCAAAGGAACATGACAGTGCTCACATTCTGGTTGAGGCTCTCGCTTTAAAATCAAAATATGAGTTAAAAAAGTATGACCAATGCGAGAGCGACACAAAACAACTTCATCTCTCCTGTTAGTTCTATAGGAGTTGGGCCAGTCTCCTAAGAGAGGCTTAATGTGGTGAAGTTTATTTGTGTCTGCAAGATCCCAAGACCGTTGCCAGCGGTCATATATAAAACAGTTAATGGACAATTTAAAATCGGTGAATGGTAAAAGAAATTGTGATATGGGAAGATCTAAAGCAGACTTGGCAGCTAATATCAACATGACTGGGGAGCCAGCAAAGGACGGTGTCCTTGCCGATAAACTCGTGTGATAGTAGCAGGCGATAAATGTCTGCTACTAAAGGGTGTACAAGCTGCTTATTGTTTATTGCTTGTAAAGAGAACAAAGAATCAGTAAATATAATGTGTTTTAAAGATGAAGAGGATTTAATGAACTCCAAAGCCTGAACGATGGCCTGGAGTTCAGCAGTAAATATGGAAGCAGCAGGAGGAAGACGAACAGAAATAGTCTCAGATGGCGTGACAGTAGCCGAAGCTACCCGATCGCCATCTTTGGAACCATCTGTATAAATTGGAGCGTAATCACCATATTTAGACCTTAACTCTCTGAAGAGAGACTGAAACACCGAGGAACTAGTATCTCTCTTTTTGTTTTTTGTAAGATCGAGATCGATCTTGGGAGGAGATATAGACCATGGTGGTGTCTCAAAGAAAGGGGTATTCGCAATACTGTCTTGACTGATACCAGCCTGAGACAAAAGGGGTTGAATGCGAATACCGAATGATGGAATAACATTAGTCTTCAGTAAATATAGATGTTCATGATAGGGTCTAAATATGGTGTTAAATGAAATATGATGAGGCAGAGATGCAATTTTTGTAGCATACTGCAGTGCAAGTTTATCACGTCTATCGTGCAATGAGTGCTCGTGCGCCTCGACGTATAAACTCTGCACTGGAGATGTTCGAAATGCTCCTAAACTGATTCTAAGTCCTTGGTTGTGTATGGTGTCAAGCTCTTTGAGATACGACTCGCGCGCCGACCCATACACAATACACCCATAGTCGAGTTTGGATCTTATTAATGCTCGATATAATCTGAGCAAGACCTTACGGTCTGCTCCCCAGTCAGTGTTTGATAAGACTCTCAATATGTTGAGGGCTTTCAGACATTTCTTCTTGAGGGTTTTGATATGGGGAATAAATGATAATTTCTTATCAAATATCAAACCCAAGAATTTTGTTTCATCCACAACTGGAATGGGGCTTCCATCCAGTGTTAGCCCCGGATCAGGATGTAAACCTCTTCGTTGACAAAAGTGCATACAGTCTTGGATTTCGAAAATCGAAATCCATTGTCAGTTGCCCATCGTTGAATAGAATTCAAACAACGCTGCAACTGACGTTCGATTGTCTGCATGCTTGTCGATCCGTAACACATCTGAAAGTCATCAACACCAAGAGAGCCGTCGACCCCGCGTTTAAGGCACGTCGGTATCGTATTTATTTTAATAGAAAAAAGTGTGGGAGATAATATACTTCCCTGAGAAACTCCCATTTCCTGAGGAAATGGGTCAGAGAATATTGATCCCAAACGTACCTTAAACGACCTATCTTCTAAGAAGTTTTTAATGAAGATAGGTAAGCGACCACGCAGACCGAGGTTAGGCAGATCGCGCATGATACCATATTTCCATGTGGTATCATAAGCTTTCTCCAGATCAAAAAATATAGCAACTAAATGTTGTTTCTGGATGAAAGCATCCCTGACAAACGTTTCAAATCTAACGAGATGATCAAGAGTGCTCCTTTGGGACCGAAATCCACATTGGAGGTCTGTAATGAGGTTGTTGGACTCAAGGTACCAAACAAGCCTTCGATTGATCAATCTCTCCATGGTCTTACAAATGCAGATAGTTAAAGCGATCGGGCGATAGTTGGTAGGATTCGTAGGATCTTTACCAGGTTTAGGGATGGGAATTATTGTGGCTTCATGCCACGAAGGAGGGAAAGTCCCATTAACCCAAATCCGGTTAAAGAGATGCAATAAAATTAAGAGTGTTGATAAAGGTAAGTGTTTTAAAATCTGGTAGTGAATTTCATCTGGACCAGTTGCAGTGTCCCGGGCTCGCTTTAGCGAATCCCGGAGCTCTGCAATGGAAAAGGTATCATTATAGCATTCATCATTGCGGGACTTAAAATTAAGTCGCCTTTTCTCCTGTTGTTGTTTAATGCCTCTAAAGGCATCAGGGGAGAAATTGGATGATGAATTGGATGAGAAAGTACTGGCCAGAGAATTAGCAATATCAGGAAATGTTGTTAAGCTGGTATTATCAACATTTAGATGGTTAACTGATAATGCACTACTTTTACCTTTAATCCTACGAATCCTATCCCATACCGATTTGGAAGTGGTACGGGAATTTATCCTTTAGACATAGCCCTGCCATGAAGACTTCTTTGCCTTCGCCCGGACCATTTGGTATGCTGCAACATTCTCCATGGAAGGGTGGTTCTTTAGGCGTCTGGGGGGGTGGATGGCTGAATGGTTAGTGTGCGCGCGCTGTATCATAAAGTCTGTCATTGAGTCGACTGGCGTGGTTTCGAATCCCCGGTTGTACGTGACAAGGAGTAGGGTCGCCTGTCCAACCTCGTGGGTTTTCTCCGGGTCCTCCGGTTTCCTCCCACTGCTAAAGACCCCTACGCGCAAGCGAATTATTGAAATAAAAATAAACCATATGTTAGTCCCGAAATGACCTAGTTTGTGTCGAGTGGACGTTAAACCCCATCTCTCTCTCTCTCTTTAGGCGTCTTAAAA